AAAAGAAAAAAAAAAAGAAAAAAGAAAGAAAAGAGAAAGAGTCTTCAGGAGGCAGGCAGCGTTTACCTAACCCCTTTCCAATATACGCGCGCTATCGATTTTACTTCACTTTGAATTATATTGAAACAAAAGACCATTCCAATACTTGATTTGATTTGTTTTCAGTATATGTGGTGGTGTTATAGTTTCTTGTTTTACCGATTTAACATCCCTAAATTTACCTCTGGAGGGGTATTTTCTTAAGATAATACATAGTTGAGGGGTGGCTGTAATAACCCAAACATGAGGGGGGTTTTCGTAATTTGACCATAACTCAGGGGGGTGGCCATAATTTGCCCAATATTTTTACATAAAATTTATGTAATTCGGTTATTTACCGAACCAAATCGTATATTCAGTTCGGTAAACGTTATGAAATGTTCGCGTACCGAAATTTATCTGATCCGTTATAGTTTCTTGTTTCGGTTCATTACAGGGGACTAAAGCACCTTGTGGTTAGCATCTCTCACTTGTAGTTCCTGTAATTTCGAGAAACGTGCACTTCAGCTTTCGAAGGTTCGTGTTCCCATCGATGTTGTTCGAGAAATTTTGTCCTGTGAATAGTTAGTGTGCACGTGCATCTAAATGCACTAACGCCTACGAGGTCCTGCAATGTTTCACGCAACTGCCTGTTTCATGTTTTCGTTATGTTCTCCATCTTTCCGTTCAGATACGTAAAACATTACTAAATGATTTTTACTTTGGTAGATATTGTTGTTCTCGTTTATAAAAATATACTCAGGACAGATGTTAAATCTGGTCGAGAACAAGAATCTCTCCCAAGTTCTCCTCTAATTCATAGCATCATCAATTTATTGAATATTGCTTGCATGTAATGAATACATAACTAATGAGAGATTATTATTATTGTTATTAGACTACCTCATGTTTGTCGGTAGAGTACATAGAAGAAGAAAAATATATACTCTGATTTTTTTATTTTATTTTTAATTAATATATCGTCTTTGTTTTCGTCAGCAGTGTAAGCTAAATGGACATACATACATGCTAACTTATATAATAATAGTTGAACATGTTAGAAGATTAACTTTGTTAACTAGGGTTACATCTCGTTATTACAGGAACTGGATATCATTTGTTTGCTGCAAGAATATTGCTGTCGGTGCTCGACGCTGCGATATCTCCATGGATTCGACGAAGCACAAAGCTGGTAATTTCAATGGACCTATGTTTTGTGTCATATTATTTATCACTTTGCCGAAAAATATGATTTTTTGGATTTCCGTTGGTCTGAGAGATATTTGATCAGTAAAAACGGAACTGATTGAATACATATATTTTGTTCGCAAGGTTGTACAGAGTAATTTATTACATAAACGAGAATATAGATAAGTGCAGAGGTCGTACTTAATTTTATTACGTCTTGTATTTTGATTAGAGAAATCTTCTCCATTATCAAATTCGAGAATACGAACAATGCCCATCATTTGTGAATTAACCTCGTGATGGATAATCTGTCTTAGCTTTAACGGCATGTGATTTGATTTGTGGGCTAATATATCTTTAGTGTATACGTGCCAGTTATGCGCAGTACGAAAACAGGCGCTACTCGATATTTCAGGAAATGGTATTATACCGAATTCGATGAAGTAGTACTCTACAGTCGTAACATCGAAGGATGAAGCTGATTAGGGTTGCTGCTAATTTTTTGGTGAAAAGAGAGATACACAATATATATATATATATATATATATATATATATATATATATATATATATATATATATATATATGTACAGCACAGATTTATATACACAAACACTCATACAAGTGTTGGGATCAAGAACAGCCAACTCTTATTTGTATTTCATTAAAGAAAAACATTTATTTGATTCGGTTTGATTAAGTTTTGCTAAATATCGCTTATTGATTGTTTATGTTCGACGAAACAACGTAATAAAATAATCAAGGTTCGCTAGAAAAATTAATTGTGAGATATAACCTAAAAAGATAAAACATTTACAAATTACAAATGTGGTGCTGGGTATTTACAACAAGTTAATTACCCAAAGAAACGAGAAACATAAATAACCACGACGAAAAAATTAAATAAAAAATTTAAAAAAGAAAAGAAAAAGAAAGAATCTATCGCCACTTCCTCTTGATTGTTCTATGCAGTTGCCATGACCATCCACACAAGAATATCAAAAGTCCGATTCCGACAGATGTCCAAAATATAACCAACCACCTCGGCATCGCATTAGGGAATAATCCTGGCAAACCATTTTTTTTTTTAAAAAACCATCCAAATTTCGTACTAAATCGATAAAAAACATTTAAATAAAAATCAAATATTCGACGAAAAAAGTTTAAATATACAAAGGAGCAATCAAGAATACGAACCATGTCCAAACTTGACACAGATGAGGAGTTCTACAATGCAGATAGCAAGTGAAAGCCAGCAAAACGATCCCACCTTTTTCACCGGTTTTCTTGAAAATGACAAAAATCAATCAGACAGTAAAAGAAAAAGACGATTCAAATGGAAGCTTCTAGAAGAAGGGGAAATACCTGTCTTGCAAGTAAGAGTTGTACTCTCGTATAGTAGGTATTGCGATAAGCCACCACAAAACCAACCTATATACTATGAGTGGGTTTCGGGGAGGAATCCAAAGGCAAAATTTGAGAAAGAATGTATTCAGCTCCACAGTCAAGAAAATTATGCAAAGACTGAGAACTTGTATAAATCGAAACGGCCCTAGAAAAGGATGCCATTCGTCTTTATCCCACCTGGCAGGTGTAAATTGCCCCAGCGTTCGTTTCACCTGAAAACTCGAAATAATATAAATAAGAAAAAAAAATCGACAAAAAAAAAAAAAAAAAAACAGAAAAAGTCATTTATAAAAAACGTACTTTTCCCATTATGTTAGGCTGGCGGCTAATACCGACCCACTCGTACGTTTTACCATCAAAATACCGAACAGTACACATTCCTGCCCATATACCTGTAATTTTTGTAAAGCAAAGAATGTCAATATTTGATGTTCATTTAATAAAACGTACAAGTAAGGGCAAAAGATATTTAAAAGAAAAAAAAAAAAAAAAGATTCCTACCGAACCAATTGCAGATTAGTACATCAAGAACGATGCTATCCCACCAGCACTCGTTGAAATTTGGCAACATGTGGCGAAAAGTTAGCTGAAAACACCAGTATTAAAACCACCTTAACGAACAAACAAAATCTATATTCAGAACTTTGCTTGAAAAATGAACACTGCGAGAAAAAAAAAACGGCAGGTAGGAGAAATAAGAGCTCACCTCCATTAATTCAAATCCGATAGAAAGCACCCATAAGAGTGGCTGGTTACGAATCATTATAGCTTTACCCCACCATCCAAGAATATGTGCCAGAACAAACTCATCAAAAAGTGTCTCCTAAAAACCAAAAAAAAAAAAAAAAAAATCAAAACTTTGAAATGCAGGTGCATGTTTTTTTTTTTTTTTTTTTTTTTAAAGTGTATGTTTAAAACACGAGAGTAAAATAAAGATAACATACATAAACATTCTTAAACCTGCTTGTGGGATTTTCAGGGACGTAAATTCGACAATCGGAACCGTATGATCTTTCAGGGAGTTCTGCATTAGGGAGATTGGGTAGTAGAAATAAGAGAACCAATGAAAGAATTCATTTTGTGGAGTAAGCAAAAGGTCTAAAAATCCCTTACCAACTCCAAGATCGGGATGCAGAAACCTCATAAATTGCTGTGCATTATCACGCTTCTTAAAATACGAAATAAGAAAAATAAAGAAGTGCGTCAGAAATTAGTCAATTACTGAACATATCTGTAAATCAGAAACTGATACATCCATGCATTAAGGCATTTGAAAAGGTGTTGTAAGCATTCTGATTTTCTCGAGAAAATTATAAATCTATACTGTATCCACGAGTCATTTGACAGAATCCCTTGCATTGAAAAAATTTGACTGAAAAAAAAAATCAGGCAAAAAAAAGAGGGAAACGAAAATGCCGGTGCTTGCTAAAAGCTGACCTGGAAAAGCAAAAATGTTAATGCAACAAGGTAAATGACAGCCATTCCATGAACAAGGCGCCAAATTGCAGGATGCGGCCGGATAAGTACCCTGAGAGCAAAAGTAAGTGCTGACTCAGCATATTGACAAAAAGGAAACAGGTCAACAAAAAACTCCAAGAAATGCTGTCACAAACTAACTTACATAATAAACTTGTGGGTGGGACAGTTTACAAGGAGCTACACGTACCCTTAATTTCTAAACCGATACTCCGTATTGAAAAAATACTGATTTCAAAATTTATTATCAAAATCTCATAAGTTTAGGGCATCAACGTTCCTATTTCCCATCCATTATGATGGAGGAAAGGTACAATAGTTGATCTACAGTAGCATAAAACATGGCATATTGTTGCTAATATTCTTCCATTTTTAATCTTAATTGACGGCACAAAATGATGACAACACAAAAATTCACAAGAAAATGAAATTCACCACAAATTATAACCGCTTCCTCGATTTTTAGATAAACTCTTCTGTAATAAGTTCATATTCGAGTGCTTCGTTTGCAAAGAGAATAATTGCAGCTCTTTGTTCCATGTACCATAACATATGATTCAATAATGCCAAAACAATGAAATAACAGCTACATGACAGTAAGCATCACTGACAAGTCTAATTAGCTCAACAAATAGACAAGCAGATTTCACTGACATGAAAGAACTTACGTAGAAGGAGCTTGTAACACGCAATAAGCAAGAAAGACTGCAGTCATTGCCCATACACCCCTACAAAAATCATAAATGCAACAATTTCTTTACTTCAAAACTCTGAAAAAAGACAAGACGAAAAAAGAAAAAAGAAAACTTTGACATGCAATATGGTAAGCCTTGTAGCACAAACCTTCTCACAGAAGTAACAAAATCAATTTCTGAACTACGTTCAGGATCGAGTGCTCCACTTGCCCATCTGGGAAGAATTTTAAACAGAACAAAATATGAAAACTCTGAATGAAATAAGGTGAATAAAAAATTGATCTTGCATATTTCGAATCCAAAAAATTGTGAACATCACTACGGAAAAGATTAATAACATACACAAGAAAGCATGCACCGATTAGTAATAATGTAATGGTGTGAGGTTTGTATGCCCAGGCAATCCACGGATCATGCTCATCTTCACTACTTGATGCGCTCAAGTCACCGTTTTGATAAGAAACAAGATCCTTCCTTCTGCCTCTTCGATGACCATTAAGTTCCATAACCTAGAATTTCAGATTTTCAAGATTTTGCACTGCAAAAAGAGATCAAATTATGAGACTTCTATACCCTCGTCATTGTGTATCGTTCTTAGTTATATAACATCAGATCGTATCCTTTATAAAAGAAGAAAACGAAGCAACCGATATACTCAAGAACCAACTCAAATTCATTAAAAATGCTCTAAAAGGTAACCTCAATGTGCTTCTACGAGTAAATGATCACCGATTGACTATACATAGTACCAAGGATAGA